GCGGGGAGCCCAGCCGGCCGCCGGCCGTCGGTTCCGAGGGAGTGACCCCCGCGGGCTCTTCCTGCCGCCTCGCAGAGCAGCTGCTTCGCAGGTTTCACTGGACGTCAGCGCCGGTCTGACGGCGGCCCGGAGGCGGCCTTGCTCTAGAACTCAGGGTACCTGGGTCTCAAGTCCCGTTAGGTGAGCTCGGAACCACCTTCAGGCCAACTCGACCCCGTTCCCCAGCCAGCCGCTTTCTGAGGCCTCGCCTCCTGCTCTGCGGCTGGTGTGGGCACCTGCTCGGCCCGCACACCTGTGCGACCAGGGCCCCAGCAGTCCTCAGGGGACACGCTGCAGAACCCCAAGCGCGTGCTTTTCCTGTGCACCTCTCCTCTGCGACTCTGCCCTAGAAGTGCCAGTCACGGTGGGCTCCCCAAATTCTGCGTCGCCTCTTGGAGTCGGATGCTGCCCAGCCTCACTCCGGTTCCCCTCCCTGGACGGCTCCTCCAGGGGTAGGCTGGGCTCCTGCAGAACCCACCTGGATGCCTCCCCCGCAAGGGCCACTGCCGGGCACCGCCTGCTGCCTGGGAAGCACGGGTTGGTATTTTGTCCCGCGTCTTAGATGCTCACGTGGCAGACCACGACCACAGCGGAAGCTGGTGTCACTCACTTTCCGCCAAGCGGCCCACTGTGCTCTCGAGCACAAGGACTACAGAGAACCCAGAGTAGCTTAAATCACTTGTGTGTGGAGTGACCATAGTCAAAATAAGACATGAAAGGAGGAAATAATCATACCGGTGATTTATTCAGTAAGACAAAATGTCACAGTTAACAAAGATGATCATCACCCTGAGAAGAAAACGGCAAAACCAACATAACTATGTGCCATTTATGAGACACAGCAACTGTATCAAGATACAGAGAGGTTGCCCAGGCGGCTCGGCTCAGTGGGTGAGCGTGGACCTACGAACCAGGTCATGATTCAGTGCCTGGTCAGGGCACATGCTGGGGTGGCCCGCCCAGGTTTCAGGCTCGGTCCCCAGGAGGGGGCATGCAGGAGGCAGCTGATGTTTCATCATTGATGTTTCTCTCCCTCTCCCCTCCTCTCTCTGAAACCTATAAAAACATATATATTTTTTAAAAGATACAGAAAGGTTAAATGTGAAATAAAGGGCACAGTGTGTAAAGACTCATAAAAACAAGATGGGTACTACAGTTTTAATATCAGATAAAAGATTTTAAGGCAACAATAACAGAGAGACAGACTCCATGATAACGGGTGGAGGCGTCTACACCCCTGCGTTGGAATGGACAGGTCTAGCAGCAGCAGATCAGCGGGCACAGAGTTGACTCAACGGCACATCAACCAACTGCACACACTGACGTCCACAGGCCTCTGCGCCCACAGCAGCAGGTTTCGTGTTCTTTCCACGCTCACGTGGACGCTCACCAGGATGGACCCCACTCTGGGCCACGGAGCACACCTAACACACGGAAAATAACAGGCACCTAGTGTCTGCTCAGAGTACAACAGAGTTAAGTAGGAATCAGTATGGAAAGGTAGCTGGGAAGTCCCCACATACTCAGAGGTTCAACAACACACTTCTAGGTAACACATGGGTCAAAGAAGAAATCTCGAGAAACTTAAATGGGTCACCAGGCTTTGTGGGACGCAGCGAAGGCAGTGCGCAGGCCGGGTTTATAGCATTCCCTGCACAAGTTAGAGAAGAAAGATCTGCAGTCAGTCATCTAAGCTGCTTTTTAAGACACTAGAAAAACAAGCGCAAATTAAGTCCAAAGCAAGCAGAAGAAAATAAATAATAAAAATGGGAACAAAAATTAATGGAATTGAAGAAAGGAAACCAGTAGAGAAAAATCGGCGAAACCAAAAGCTGCTTCTTTGAAGAGATCAGTAACATCGGTAAATCTCTAGCCAGGTTAACTAAGAAAGATAAAGGGCAACAGAGAAACATTGAATCATCATGTTTGTACATGTCAACCTTGTTTATTTTCTTAAAGAGACAGCTCTTCTTTTTTTTCATTGTTCTTTTTCTTTCTTTTCTTTCTATTCTTTTAATCATCACCTGAGGATATTTTTTCCATTGCTTTTCAGAGCGAGAGGAAGGGAGAGACAAACATCAATGGTGAGAGTCATTGATCGGCTGCCTCCTGCACGCTCCGGATTGGGGATGGAGCCCACAACCCAGGCATGTGCTCTGACGGGGAATCGACCCCCAATCTCCCGGATCCTAGGTCGATGCTCAACCGCTGAGCAACGCAGGCCAGGCTGTACATGTCAACCTTAAAAACAAAAAGTCAGCCAGATAAAAAGCCTGACCAAATTGGCTTATTCAAGAACAAAGAGTTGGAACCCAGAACATGAAGGCCATGGTCTGGGGCCACATGCAAAGCACTAAAAGGGAGGAAACTTGGAGAGCAGAGGAGTCCGGAGGGTTATTAGAGAGTGCCAGGTAGGGTGAGAGAGCACCCCCTGCTGGTCTCCCGACTTCATTTTAGATGAGATTTCTGTTTACTAACTTTTTAATAAACAGCATATATTGAACATACTGAAACAAATATGTTGTATACTATAGTATACCTCAATGCCAAAAAACAAACACAAAACACAATCAGCAATAAAAGATGAGGCATCACTACAGACCCCATGTACATTCACTGGGAAGAACTGTGACCAAAAATTTTTTCCTGAAATTGATAAATAATTGTAATATATATATGTAAATATATATATGTATATATATACACACACATATGCAAAGGACCTAGCCAACATCACTTTGCAAAATAACAAAGTTGGGGAACTAACACTATTTCAAGACATTCTAAAGCTACAGTATGAAGACACAATGGTATCAGTGTAAAGACAGGTAGTGTAAAGATAGATAAAGTTAGTGCAAATTAGGATGGAGCCCTGGCTCCGTTGGTTGGAGCATCATCCAGAGCACCAAAAGGTTGCAGGTTTGATCCTCAGTCGGGGCCTGTATGGGAGGCAATTAATCAATGTTTCTCTCTCTCAAAAAATCAAACATTTTAAAATATTAGGGCCCAGCTGGGTGTGGCTCAGCAGTTGAGGATCGACCTAGGATCCAGAAGATTCCAGTTCGATTCCTGGTCAGGGCACATGCCCAGGTTGCGGGCTCGATCCCCAGCCAGGGGCATGCAAGAGGCAGCCAATCAATGACACTCTTATCATCGATGTTTCTTTCTCTCTCTCCCTTCCTCTCTCTGAAATCAATAAAGATATATATATTTAATTTAAAAAAATAAAACATTAGGATAGAAAGGAGTCCAAGAATAGACCCTCACATACACAGACAACAGAATTTTAACAAAGGTTCAAAGGTAGTTCATTTCAGAATATTTTCAACAAATGATTTTGGGACAATTAGATATCCGTATTTAAAAACAAAAACTTTGCCTTTCTCATATTGCCATTTAATGGGTATAATGGGACATCATGTTATTTTAGTTTGGGTTTTTCAGGTGACTGGTAAGTTTAAGTATCTCTTCTCAGGTTTGGATTCCCCTTCTATGAACTGCCTGTTCTTATCTTTTGCCCGTTTGTCTACTGGATTCCCTGCCTCTTTCTCATTTACAGGCCTTCTTTTTTTCATTTTCAATGTTAATCCTCTGCTGTATTTTAATAGTGGAAATACCACCTCCTAGTGGTCTGTCTTCTCTTTGGTAAGCCAGTGGCTAAGCAGAATTTTTCCTGATGAACCAGAATTGAATCCAAGGACATAAAACGGAGGATTCAAATACACCAAGTACCACATTTTCTATAGAAAGCCACAAACAGGGTCAAAGTTATTTGGATTGTTTCGGTTTGGGCTCTTAGGAGTAAAGCTGCTGTGGACTGGACATCTGCCTCCAGGCTGCATCCAGTGAAGGAAGATTTTCACCTCGGCTGACTGGTGGTTACTCCTCCATCGTTATAAATGTCGTCATTGAATTTTATCTGTAATCACCTGTAAAACTATTTCTTACCCTCAAACAATTCTAATTTATTATTTTTTTCTTTATTGAATGTATTGGGGTGACGTCGGTTAATAAAATTGTACAGGTTTCAGGTGTATAATTCTATAACATCATTGGTACACTGTATTGTGTGTGCACCACCCCAAGTTGAGTCTCCTTCCATTACCATGTATCCCCCCTTTTCCCTCTGCTACCTCCCCCACCCCCCTTCCCTCTGGTCATAACCACACTGTTGTCTGTGTCTATGAACAACAATTCTAATTACTAACTGAAACTTCTTTTAGTTCCAGCACCACTTACTTCAGAACCGCTTCCGGTAGTCAGGGACACGAGCAACTCCTCTGCTGAACGGGACAGTAGTTTAATGCTCGGAGAAATACAGCCTCAGTTTTGTGTGTGCGCTTGTGTACTTTTCACAATATAAAGACAACAGACACAGCATACTTTTAAGTTTAATCTTCAATGTTAGCATTTTCTCTATCACTTCCTTCAGTCTGAACAGTCAATAAAACAGTCAGTCAATCAAGGCCTTCTGCCAATACCCAGCGTGTAAAGCCTCAATTTTCTGGACCTCAATTTAATGAATTTTCAGCTTTAACAGACACCCCTTGCCTGAATTAGTCGTTATATCAAGGTTTTACTGTGCTCCCAGCACTGCTGAGTTCGAGCTGTCAATGCGACATCAGTGAATGTAGAGTTGGGATGAGACGAGCAGCAGTAGCTCCCGAGCAAGTCCTCATTCAACATCGTCGATAGGTTCTTGGAATCTGTGACTTTAAGCGACAAGCCGTATAATGAACCCAATTTCAATCTAGGCTAATTGATATAAACAAGAGTTAAGTTCCTACAGAATATTCCTGGTCACAAAAACACCAAACTTCTAAATGAAGACACAAAACGTCTCTAATATTGAATATTAAAGTCAATGCGAACTGTATGTACATTTAAGAAAGGTAATAACAGCAACTAAGATAACGATTTTCCAGCCTGCTTAATCCAGGTCAGGGTCACGCTGGCCAGAGTCCATCCTGGCAGCTCAGGGCACAAGGCTCCCAGGGCCCCACCCTGGACAGGACACCCTTCCATCCCAGGGGCACCCACACCTGCCCACGGGGACAGCATGGACACGCCATTCTCCTTACAGGCACGGGGCTGGGACGTGGGAGGAAACTGGAGGACCCGGAGAAAACCCACGCGGACATGGTGAGAAAGTGGACACTCCACACACAGGCCCCACTGGGAACCGGTTTTTCCCCATCAACCTTATTGCGGACGTTACTTGAGGACCTGCTGTGCAGCCTCTCCACCCCCCAATTACAGTTAAGTGTAAATAATGCCCAGAGCGTGGGTAACAGTGAAGGAAGTAAAACACCTTGTCAAAGGTAAAATAGTAAAATGAATTTTAATTTTTTTAATCCTCACTCGACATGTTTTTTATTTTATCTTGACTTTTAGAGAGGCAGGGAGGGGGGGTGGGAGAGAGAG